AATGAAACAAAATGGAACGAAATAAGACGTAGAATAAACAGTTACCTTTATGAACATAAACGGCACAACACAAGAGCAAGCGGGATGTGCGTTACTCAACCGGCAACGTTGGGCAGTTCTATACTTTACACCACTAGCCATGGCGTCTCGCGTAGTACATTTTAGTTCCACGGCCGCGGTATTTCGTCCAGTTCTAACTAGTCCACTTCTCCGATTGTGTTTTGTTCGTGCTGTGACACAGTGAACGTGCTTCTTGCTGGATCCTGTAAGTGGCCACAGGGCGTGACGTTGTGACGATTGATTACAACCGGCTTGTGCACACGCAAGAAAAAAAAAAAAAACTACGACCAGACTGGTACGAACACTCGTCCAGCAGCACTGCGATGACGTTTTTTTTTTTAATGTGCCCATTTGGACAATCGTGATGCCAAGTGATTCTGATGCGGTGCTGGGAACTTCCTGAAAAGTGAGAGTTCTACTGGTGAGGTGTCTCGAAGCAGCGCGTTTCGGCTCAAGCGGGAACTGGTCAAGAGTGAAATGTTTCTGAAGGTGCGTTGATTACAACCTACAGCTGTTCTGTATACGTGCATACCCACATGTATTTGTACCAACTGGCATGCACTAGACACGCATTAGACGCGCGCCTGGCGTTTCAATAAAAACCGACAAGTGAACTCGCTTCGCAGATCCGCGTCGACATACGTTGACGGAGTTGCACGAAAGCATTCGCGTGAAATGGTTCATAGTTGCACTTCATGGTGCGCTTCATCTCGGAAAGCACGAGGTAAGTTGAAGAGAGCGAAACCATTTTCTGTTGTTTACGGCAACGCAGCATTGCTGAAAAACGCAGATGTTGCATTGAACGAGCATGGCGAAACAATCTTGGTCGACTTAGCGCACACCGAAACGCTCCTCCTCTTCAGTTTATGTTCTGGCTACGATTTTGTCTTTGGTCACGGCGAGAATCCGGCTGGAGCCATATGCGCATGCGTACTAGTTTTGAACCTTTTGCATAATAATAAATAACACCACCAGCCATTTGCAAGATCACGTGCAAGTAATGCACCAAATACAGACGCGGATGGCAGAGAAAAAGAGGAGTAATCGAGAGAGTGAGGAGGACGGCTCGAGAACAATGAGTGACGTACCTTGTTTCATCTAGGGACCTTAGCCCAAAGAGCTTTGTTGCGCCCTCTGGTTCACTGTCGGGTGCCTATAGGCACTGACAAAAGTGCACTTCTGCAAGGACCGGGGCGCAAGCCAGTGGGGTCTCTGACTATGGACTTAGATGTAATAATGTAATAAGGATGTAGATGTAATACTTGTAACAAAGTTCTTCATCATCATCATCCGATCGGAAACGCACCGATTAAGACAGACGCGTACACACGAAGCGGTAAAGGAACTAAAAACACGTTCGTGTAAAACACATTGCTGAAGCAGGCTTTGACGCATCTGATTACGTGTGGTTGCCGGTGCTCACATGAGTATGAAAAAGGCTCTTTATATCGTCCGAGAACAGAGACCATGCACTTACCTTATCCATCGCGCTGCTCCACAACGTGCTTCAGCGTTCCTCCTCTTTGGCCTAAGCTGGACTGATCCCGGTCGAGCGCAGAGCTACAGAGACAGTCCAGTATTCGTCCCGGCAGAAGAGAATGTATACCACGTGGCGAAAACCTCGATGTGTTGAGGCACGACAATGGATTAATTTTCGCCAGGAAATTTCGGTAAGGCTCACACTCCCTATCAAGCCAGATAATACTTTCGTCAGAGTCCCTGTGACCATAGATTAAAGGGTCTTTACGTGAGCACGAGGTAGTTCCGCTTATTTCGTGTAACTGAGGATGAGTCACAGCAAAACCAAGGTCTCCTCAAGTCATGATGCAATAGTAAAAATTAAACGTGACATCACGGTCTTGTGTGTCACGTCTCACGCTTGGCTACAGCTTTCGATTTCCAATAGGTGGCAGGTGAAGGGTGTGTGTGTTCGTGCGACTATTGCCATGCATACGAGCGACGAGTTTTAAGTGTGAATACACCTTATAAGCGACCCCAAACCATCCACCGCCGTCGGCGGCGTCCGCAGTCTTCTCTCTATCTTTAAAAGAAAGAGGACTTGGCGGGCCGCAGCGCGACGCTCTACCGAATAAGCCACGGACTGCGACGCTGATAGTCCCCCTCCCCCTTCGCTCGCTCCTCCGCTCTCCTCGCTCGCCGCAGCTGCGCGCGCACCCCTCTCTCGCGCGCGCCCGCCTTCTCTCTCAGTCTCCCGTCGAGAGCGGGTCGTGAGGGGGAGTAAAGTTAAAATCCGTTGGCATTCACCAGTGAGTTAACGTGAACTCCCCCGTGTGATCAAATTGCGATTCCCAGGAACCATTACACCATAAAGGCACCATAGTGTGACTTAATAAATATACTAGTGCGAATTAATAAACACCCTTCATAGCATCACCCCGTGTATTCGCACTTAACCATGTTCACCCTCGGGGAAATGCTTGGGAGTTTTTTTAGGCATTAAGCTGCTCCAAGCAGACTTTACGAGAGAACAACGAAAGCAAGCAACGCATTTGCATGCACCGTTTAGTCGCAAGAATAATGCAGCTTGCTTCTACAAATCGAATGCAACAATAATGTGCTGTAGCAGCCAATGCAACTTCACCACTTAATCAAGGCAGTGAAGTAGCTGCGGAAAAAAAAAGTAGTCTCACGCAACGATGTACAGCATAACGTGCTTTTTATTTAGTACTTCAATAATTTTATCCTCTTCAGGTCCAAAAAAAAAAAAGTTAAAGCACAAGATATGTACAGTACGACACGGAATAAACGAACACTCAGAACTGTTGCTGTTTGAACACAGGAACATAGATGCATCACCACGGTGAACACAAAAGAATTAAAGAACTCAGGTAACATCAATTAAACACGAGAATAAAAACAGAACGAGCGGATACTCGCTAAACTCTGCATTAAAAAAAAAAAGCTGGCCGCCGAATACGAAAAAAAAAAGCGTGTTCGACAAGCGATGCTTGCCCGCGCAACACAAGTAATCGTTCAGTTGCGGGTTTATAAGGCAAAACGCCTTTACCATCGGATAAGAGGGAGGAGGACTTCTGCGGCTATCTCCGCGATTAGAACAGAAAAAAAGCGCGGCTCCCCAGAATCGCCCCACGACTGACAACGGCAGACTTGACCACTGGACAAAGAAATGTGTGAACAGAAAAAAAAAAAGCGAGCGATGCTATTACACCCATCGTTTTGTCCAACACAGCATCATCTCGCGTCATAAAGAAAGTAAAAAGAGAAAACTCGTGATAAGGTACTCCTAAGTTGACAATAGGGGATGACACACGCAAGACCGGCGCGAATTAAATAAATACGGCGGCGCACAAACGCGCACAGCGTGCAACCACCACGACAAATGTGATAAACCTAAGGAAAAAAAGAAAAGGGGAAGGGGGGAGCACCCGACCCGAGGGATGACCACCCGATGGCGATGGACGTGTCCACGAAAACGAAACTGACCATAAGAACGAAAGAAAAGCTGCCCGAGGAAAAACTGCGCGCGTCTTTCATTAAATACTGTTACATCGCGCAAGTTGTGTCCAAAACTTTCACACATCGTATACGTTGTATAGAGTGAAAAAAAAACAAAAAAAAAAAAAAACTAGACGGGTTCACTTATCACACGGCCACGGCAATAGTGCTGCGTATCAGGTGCGAGCACGAGGGAAGACTTGAAAAAATGAACACGTGACGCATGCACTGCCGGGGGCACCTGTACCTCGGATCGGGGGTCCTACAAATACAGTGCGATATAACGCTCTTTTACACTGCTCGCAAAGGGGTGCCTACTATTAAAATCGTAGGCAGTGTTCAAAACAACAAACGAACAAAAAGATCACTACATGTTCTTGCATCACCACTTAAGAAGGGGGTCGAGAGTACGCGAAAGAGAAGAAACCATCTGAAGGACATGCGTCACCAAACGTAAACCAGCTACAAGAGAACTCGCGGCGCTGCAGACGGAGCGTGAAAATGACCACTGTTAAGGCTCGTTTACTAAAGACGCCAGACCAGACACTGATATGAGTGGTGCATGAATACAGGGCTGTTCCAAGGATATTTGACAACAAACGTAATAGCTACAGCCACCGCAGCGGCATCGCACTGAAGAAAACGGTGCGGTAAAATGACCTCGCGATCAGACGAAAATGTTGCTCACATTACGAAGTAAAGCTCGCAGCATTAAAAAAACGGGGCTCATCAGGTTTTTCCCCCAAGCATCTTTTAGTAAAGCAGTGTTTTACAACCCCCTTGCCTATACAGAAAGTTACGCTGCACACTAGCTTCATGTCAGAAGTTGCAAAAGTCGCAAAACTAGTTGCAAGAAAAGGTTCGTAGAAGCTGCTTCAGAAACGCGAATGATTAGTCTTAATTGCAGGCTCATCGTCTCGTACGAAAAAGACAGTGAAAAACTGTTTTCCCGCGTGGATATTCAACGCACTCACAAGCAATGCCATGTGGTAGCGAATGGCAACACTAAACCGCGTCCCTAACATTGTCCTGCTTTTTGCACGATTTCGAGCTCAGACTCCAAATGTCACACTTATTCAGCTGATCGAGTACGTGAACTGCGGGACGCATTTCGCACACGGACCGTCCAGTACATACATGGAGAAACCATGCATCATTGGGCAGCAACGCCTTGACTGGTCAAAAACACTTTTCGACTGTCCTGAAGCACACGCTCCCTGGGGCTGTATATCTGTGGCAGTGCTAAAATCGAAACGATCGGGTCCGTAATGTGGCATTGGGAATGTGCTTTAAAAATGGACACTGCGAAGATGTGAGCGTTACATGCAAGCCTTCTCGCTGCATCAATGTGTTCCGCTTTCAATGAGTGCAATAAAAAGAATTTTCTGGCACCAAAAGAAACGCGCCCAAAAAAGATGCCGCAACTGTGTGTCTTCGACAAAGGCTGTGTTCACTGTTTTTCGTTTGTAAGGGCAGTCTTAGGACTAGCTGGCGTTGCTGGCAGTCTGGTCTCCGGAGGTGAAGAAAAAAACATTGAGAAACAAAACCAAAAAGAAAAAGCAAGTACAGCACAAGAAAACCATAAACAGTCAATTACGGCTCAGACAGGAGGAATAATTCACTCGCGCCACTGGAAAATACACATTCGCACAAGAAGTTCGCAGAATCTAGGTAATATTAACGAGAAGAAAGGAAACAGTCTACAGCACTGCTCTATTTTTCGAAAAGTGACGCACAGCGCGACTGCGATGCGCGACGCTCATCTCGGGAGGCGATTGCGCTCGGCCATGCGGGAAGTCCGCAGTGTACAAGTAGCAAAAGGTACACACACACACGTTTTCTTCCGGCTGAACGACAGACACACGCACACACATCAGCGATGCAGTGTATTCGATAGGCGCACGCTTCGCACACTGGCGCCGCACCAATCTCACACACGTTTCGTTCTGGAAGTCCTTTTTTTTGTTTGTTTGTTTGCGGGGAGTTCGTATATAAGAGACGAAGCAGCAGCAGCGTCGTTTGAACTGTCATACCCGCAAGGAGGTAAAGACTCGCTTTGTCCATGCCACCGTTTCCACGAAAGCACCACACGGAAACGCACTGCCTGCCGGGCCCGCCTCGAAGAAGAGGTCGCAGGACAAACGCAGGCGAGGGGGACCGCGAAAGTGTGCACCGCCGAAGAAGACTCGTCACTCGGCCGCACCGGTGCCGTCGTCGCACCTACTGTCCCACCGGCACAGTCTCCAGATGCACCCCCAGAGTTGGGGCACCGAAGGTGAGCAGTAGATGCACGGCACCAGTCGAAAGAGTGTGTCCGCGAGTCGGCTATAAAAGAGGCGTGCCGAAAGGTTTCCTTTCCTGCTCGACGACCACGGCCGGAGACGCAACAGAAGAGCCGACCGGACGGGCTGGCGGTGTTTCTCGTGCAGGTACACGTGAAGCGGATGTGTATCTTGCGGAGCTCTCCGTGCAGGCCGGCCACGACGGGATAAGACGATGGCCGGCTTGCCGAGCGCTGGCAAATGGTCCCCCCCCCTTTACGACTTGGACGTGAGGAAGGCGCCGAGCGTGAGGGCACCGAGCGCCGTGACGGCCACCCCGCACACCACGTTCTTGAAGATTGGCCAGGGAGACTCGGCAGCGCCGGTGTCGTCGCGCTCCTCGCTGAACACGACCAGACCGTCCTGCGCACCGGGAAAAGAGAAAAGGACGCCACGTGTCAGGCACCGCGGATGCGAGCACAGTCGCAACAGAAGACGTACGGACACTTGACTGGGATACAAATGCTACGGATCACCGCCACTGCTATACTACAGCTACTCAAAACCATTCATTGGCTGTGGCGAGAAGCAATTAGTATTAACAATCCGCGGCCTCAGCTTTTGATTGTAGAGTTCAGATCTCACCGACAAAAATGATGTTTTTTAAACAACTAATCCCCCCCCCCCCCCCCCCAATGCTTTCCTTTGCTAATGTAACTCGTTGCCAGGCACTTAAAAGAAGTCAGCGCGAATACATCAGGTTTTACAGATTGAAGTCAATCCCGCCTAAACAACAATCAACAGCGCAAGTATTCATAAATGGCTGCTACTTTTCATGAATCCAGGAAGTTCTCTCGAAACATGTTTATGACGTGACCGATGAAGACTGGCTGAAGATCGCGAAACATGACCCGGCACTGCCTTACACGCGACTTGCGCAAAGACGAGCTGCGAAACAAAAAAAAAAAAAAGAGACGAGACTGCAGAGGCGTTGGCGCTTAGGCAGCTAACGCGTCCTCAAAAAGCCCCGATGTGTTGGTGTCATCGATTTTGCGATACGCCGCGGCCCGTTTTATCGATTCGTCGGCGCCCTTGCAGCAGCAGCGAGAGACCGCTGTAGAGCCGCGCGAGGGGCCACTCACCCGATGACCTCGGGTCACGCAGAGAAAAGAGGGGCCACTGACGCTGCGCGGAACAGCGTCGTGATGATGATGATGATTTGTGAGGTTTAACGTCCCAAAACCACAATATGATTATGAGAGACGCCGTAGTGGAGGGCTCCGGAAATTTAGACCACCTGGGGTTCTTTAACGTGCACCCAAATCTGAGCACACGGGCCTACAACATTTCCGCCTCCATCGGAAATGCAGCCGCCACAGCCGGGAATCGAACCCGCGACCTGCGGGTCAGCAGCCGAGTACCTTAGCCACTAGACCACCGCGGCGGGGCGAGGAACAACGTCGTGATGATGATAGGTACACGAGAGAGACAGCGGCCAAACAGGCTGCGCCATGATATCGAAACTGGAGGCCCGAGCACCGAGAGAGGAACCCGAAAAAGCGGACATTGCAGCGGGCCGAGATCGTGACTCCTAGTCACTTTATTGCACACGGGGCTCCTCACGACAAATGTTCATCTGAAGGGCAAACTACCCTCGAATACGCTTCAGGTAGAGTATGCACATGCAAGCTGAAGAAAGATTGGAAACGGGCTAAACCAAGGACAGAAGTGGCACACGCAATTACTGGTCTTTGTGTACGACGTTCTCTCCTCTGTCCTTTTTTTTTTTGCTAGCTTAATTTCAATCAATATGTGCCAGATCCACTGGAATGCAAGCTTGCGTTGCATACGTTGCGAGCAAAGCAAGAGAAAAAAAAATGGTGAGGTGTGTGAATGATGTCATGTATCGATCGTATCTTAGACGGATGCAGCGTTGGCTAAAAACGTTGATGAGTCGAGATATAGCTTCACTCAAACGAAAGGAGGTTCCATCTCTAGGCTATACATCTCGCACGACGAACCGTTCATCTGCCGAGGCTTCTGCCACTCCGAAAAGATGGACACGGTCCTTCATATGCAAACGCCCTTCAGTGGATCGGACCCTTCAAAGCCGTTGATCTAGCAGACTCATCGAAGAGCACGAACCATACACTCTCCGTCAGAGCGTCCTTCCTAAATGAGCTGCGGGAGATTGCGCAGAGAGAGAGAGACAGAGGGAGATCGAAAAAAAAAAAAAACCCAACTCAAACAAGGCTCACCAGGAACGCCATCACACGTCAGAAAGAATAGGGGGTATGAAGCAGGAAGAAACGAGTTCCCTTCCTTCCCCACGGAAGTTTATGCAAATGCTTCCGAACTCGCACGCGCTTCCCTAAACGGGCGTGACATCTCCCCCGCCCCGACAGCATATTAGCGGGCGCGCGCTTCGAGGACATCACACGAGGCGCGGCGGCGCCTGCCAAGACCGGTGACAGGGCGAAAGGCGTCAACGCGCGCTTTTCTCTTCTCTTTATTTCGCGCGGGGAGTGCCCGTTCGCACGCACTTGACATACGTCACGGCTATGATCAGTCGAGGGTAAAAGCCTATACGCGACAGGGAGGGGCCCCATCCAATGATGAGAGGCAAATAGGGCCCGAGGAGCGTCGCAGTTTGCTTATCCCTGCGGTCAGGCGGACGCAACGGATTGTCCACGCATAGTGCTCATATTGCGCAACACGAACGGGCTTTGGAGGGAAACCTCGACGAGCCCGCTTTCAAAGTACACAACCACGCCCGCGCTGATGTGCAGCTGTGGAAAAGCCGGGAGCCGCTCCTGAAGGACCCTTTCTTTTGTGGGAGACGTGACGTGAATGCTTCGCTGAGCCGTGTTCAAAGGCCTGTATGTGTACATAGGCGACCAGCGCGGCGACAGCCTCGCAAGGTGCGATCCTCGAAGGTCCCACGAACCTTGTACACGTGCGCGCGTAAACGTGACGATCTGCGCTGTTTTGGACGGCGACGCTTTGCACGTTCATGGCAACGGTCGTGCTTTGCGCACAGCTTTTTCTAGAGGCGCAAGTGAGATTTGGTGGAAGTAAGTTGCTATGCTTCTTCGATGTAAAAAAAAATATAAAGCGAATCATCCTAGTTGCGAGGAGCACGGTCCGTTCTTTAACGACAATCCCAAAGATCCGCAAGGCAGAGACAGGAGCTACTTTGCAAATACCAATACAGTTGTGCGCGCAACAAAAATTCCGATAGCAGGGCTCGTAGACCGTGCAGAGGAAACGGAAAGAGAGCTGGGTAAAAGCGAATGTCTTGTATGATGAGGTGCCGAGAGCTGGGCGTACGTGGGGCATTGCCAGTTTATTCATTTTCTATCCCCTTGCACGTTTTTTTTTTTCTCTTACTTGTTGCGTAGCGATTGTTTTGATACGCTTCGCCTCGTTTCACACGGGCTAGTGTGTCAACGTCACGAGCCGCGCAGGCCTGTCAGAGCCGACAGCAAACGACACGCAGAAGTAGGAGAGATGTGGCAAGGACTATCATGGCCGCCTTCGCGAAACGCTGCGCCGCGGAGGAAGCGTCCTATAGGTGGCGGGCGCTGCGCGTACCTTTTGCAAATGTAGTACGTTAAGGAAACAGCTTATCGACCGCAGTTTGCCAAGATCCCCGTCGCTATCAATTAGCGCAAAAGCGCGCATTCACGCCGTCGCTCAGTTGCAGCAGGTGAAAGAACACAAAACAGTAAATCTGAGAATTCGGCGCAACTGTTTCACAGAACCAGCGCTCCGAACGGTGCGATCGCTGTCTGGCGCCGCGATCACCGATCTTGCCATCCAAATCAACGGATCCGCAGCTCATCGCGGCAGTCAACAGTGTGGAACTAAAAGGCCATAGTGTTTGTTGCTGCTTATGCGAAGAGTGGTGACAGGGCCTTCGCAACGGAGAGGCAGACCGGAGAGAAAGGGTAAAAGTAACGGGGGCGGAGACGCATCGGGACCAAGCGAGCCAATGGGAAAAAAGAAAAGCGACGCGACGGCCAAAACCCACACACACGCACGGCGGGCGCACGTAAAAAAAGCTTGCACGTGCATCAAGAGCGGGCGAGCCGCCACGGCAGGCAGGCGCCTGACAGCGACAACGTGTCCGCCGCACGCTCCTCCGTCCGCACCGCCGTGAGAACGACCTTGGCGAAATTAACCGCGCAACACAAACACAATCGGACTGCAGCCGCGAGGCCGCCGCCGCGAAGGAGGGGGCGGAATGACGCCGGGCGTGGGATCGCCAGACAGCCGAGGAAAAGAAAGAGCTCCTCCCTCGGCACGCAGGTCTTCGCAGTGGAAGGACCGGCGGCACTCCTGGTCTCGGAAACTCGGGGAGTACGCCCCCTCTCTCTCTTACTCTCTCTCTTTACTCCGCATCTTCCGACGGTATTCGAATGTCGAGACAGGCTTGAGCACCTTGCTGTGTAGGATCTCTTGCTGGCTAAAATGGAAAACCCCTAAGCGCCGCCAACCGGCAGAACATTACTGCACTCCGCAACGTTCACCGGAGTACGCGATCACGAAAACAAACGAAACACGCTTCTTTTGTTTGCACTTTCGAATGGCACTGACGCGCGAACACATCATATAGACGGAGAGATCCGCCACACCCAGTTGAATCGCTGCACAACCAGGACAAGAAAGCTGCATGGAGCGGATCGACCCTATAGGAGCGGTGCGAAGAAGAGAAAAAAGGGTCGAAAAAAAAAAAAAGAAGAAGTGCCGTACGCCTCCTCCCGCGCCCAGAACAAAGTGTCCCTGTCCCTTTCACTCCCGGATGTTGCGTATAGCAGTGCGGGGCACCACCACCGCGAGCATCCGCGAAATGCGGGCGTCGCCCAGAAACAAAAGGCTTTTGTTCGCCACCACGCGTCATCAGAGCCGCTCCGGCTTCGAGCGAGAGACAAAAGTATTTTTCCTCGTGCGCGCGCAAGACGCCAAGGTGTACCGGTCCGGAGATGCGGTCTCCTTCAGTCTGCCTCGGCGTCACGTGAAGCTCGGTGAAAGGCCAGCAAGCGAGGTCTCCGGTGAACTAAAAGGACACCTCGCGTTTCTCTCTTGCCAGTAAAAACGTGTCGGCCCGTTGCCTCGTCGACCAAGGCGCACGGTCGTGGGGCGAGAAAACTGCTAGCAACTGCAGCAGTGCACGCCGTTGGAAGCGGCAGAGCGCGAGCCAGCCGGAGCAGAAATAAGGACCCCTCGGCGCAGCGGGCGGAGCAGCGCTCGGTCTCCCCGTGCGAACGTAAATCACAGCCTCGATCAGCGAGCGCCAGACACGCCGAGGAGATAGCCGGAAGGAAGCCTCGCGGCTGAAACCAAAAGACGTTTTGTCTTTCGGGAACCGTCGCCACACACGCACGCACACAGTTCCCATTAAGGGAAAAAGACCCGACCAG